AATGCCTTTTTATTTTTACTTTTAATTACATGTTTTTGTCTGATCACTTATCTTAAGTTATTTATGTGACTTAATTAGTAAAGTATGAAATTTAAAGTTTCGTCTGGTGTGCTGCCTTAATTGAATTGAGTTTTTTGCTCGTGAAAAGTGCTTTAATCAGACAATTAAGTAATTAATTGCTAATATGCGTTCTTATGATGTGGCTTTTGCCTACTCCGTGAATTAGCGTATGCCACAACCATGTAATTAAATAATAATGATTAGTTTAACTGTCTGTTTACTGCTACCGACAGTATTCATTACAGTTCGAATGTTTTTATGTATCTAAGCTTTATAGTTTAATTTCTCAAGGGACTTTTCACCCGCAACGTATCAGCGTATGTATATTAGAAAAAAGCAATAAGTGTAATTACCCTGATGAGGTTTCTGTTGATATTGGATAAACTAACTTGGTAATTATCTGACGTACAAAGTAGGTGTGTTAAATGGCTAAATAAAAAAACAAAAACAGAAATTCGCGCTTCAGTAATGTTCATTTTATTTTGCAATTGGGCTAACTCCTTAATTCGTTTAAACATTGTTAAAGGAAAAATTAGATGAAGTGGCTGATTTTAGGTATTTAGGAAGTCAGATAAGTCAGCACGGAAGGGGTAGTAAAGATATAAAGCAGAGGATAGTGCAGGGTAGAGTCGCCTTCAATAAAAAGAAGTAACTTCTATACTCGCGAACGGTTAATTTAGAAATTCGAAAAAGGTTGTTTAAGGTGTATGTTTGTACGGTGGCCGCGGCGGAAAAGAAAAGGTTAGAAAGCGTTCGAAATGTGGTGTTGAATGAATGATGAGGATACCGCCCTAGACAAAAATTTTCAGTCTCTCAGAGTCTTTCAGCGTCTCTGAGAGCGTCTCTCACAGTCTTTCACATCTCTCAGTTATTGCCTAGGTGTTTTTATGGATCTCTCACAGTCTCTCTGTATGAGAGACTCGAACGATAAAATTGCTAATTCAGAGGTTCGAGTCTCTCGTAGACTGGGATCTCTGAAATATGTTGAACTTTTAAAATTTTGAAAATTTTAACCATGTCTAGCAAGACACCACTTATTGAGAGATTCGAGTCTCTCGTTCAGAGACTGGATACGAAATGAGAATCTCTATATGAGCGATTCGAGTCTCTTGTTCAGAGACGCTAAATAGTTTTTTTGATAGTCTCTCGACAGTCTCTCTCAACGACACTAGAGAGAGTCTCGCTTTCAGAGAGAGACTGAACATTTTTATCTCGGGCGTGGATGTAGAAGGTTATAAATGAAGAGGTATTAGAAAGAATATGGAAGTCATTAAGAAATAGACGAGATAGGTTGGCACGACACCTTTTCAGGCATGAAGGTCTAGTGAGAGACATATTAGAGGCAGAAACAGGAGTTAAAAGGAGTAGAGGTAGACTGAGATTAAACTATTGTCTACAAATAGTTAAGGATGTGGGATGTTCTAGTTTTAAGAAAATGCGAAGATTAGGTTCAACTAGTTTTAGGACTGACGACCTTATGATGATGACGTAGTTTCATGTCTTCACCCATCAATTGAATTGCTTATAGAAGATTAGTTTAAAATCTAAATACACACTTATCTACAAGCTGTTTATAAAAACCATGATAAATATTGGTTGTGTGCTTGAAGGCCTGAAAGATTGTCTTTATTAATCTAGTACAATTTTATTTTGGGAAGATCTAGTCATCTAACTTGTACATTATATTAATGGTTCACAGTAGCTTGCTTGTTTTTACTTGAACACTTCGTAAACAATCTGTTAAGTATCATCCATCTGTGTTTCTATCTCTGGGCGTTTACGTTATGTCAGTTCTTTGTTGAATGGATTTTCTTCATCGTTATTTTCTTAATTTTAAAAATAAAACTCTTGTTAAAGGATTACATTCGATTACTCTATTTAATTGTAAAATTAACTAATTAACTATCATAACCCAATGGTGTATAGCTATTAGGGTTGTCACCCGTACTTTATTATAGAGTATTGCACTCTATTTCGACTGTGCGTACGTTATATTTTAGAAGACACATAAAGTACGCAAAAATTCTTTATTTAAGACCTTAAGTAAACATCGTAATTACTGAAACCATAAATATGGAAACAAAAATTAATTATGATGAACTTTACAATGAAGTGAACCATTTAAATCAGATTAAGGAAAAAATTTGCAACAGCAGCATCACTTCCAATGAAACATGCACTGCAGAAAAATGGCAAGGCATATTTACGGAACAACCTGATTTCCCAAATATGTTCAAAGTAGTGTCACTGTTACTGTCCGTTCCGGCCACTTCAGCATTCTCTGTTATGAACGCAAAGTGGCGGGACGACAGGAATAAAGCTTCATTAAAACTAATTAAAAAAGAACTTTTAGTTTACTTAAATCTTTGTTTGCTATATTCAGAGGCTATTAATATATTTAAGAGCAATAGCAATTTGTTACTGGCTGTTAGGTGTAACAATAAATATGTTTTTAAAAACAAAAAATAAAATACTTTATTTTTATGCCGAGTACCTTCTTTTTTGAACCATTTAGTCGAGAAATACTTTATGTAAAGCCTGAAAAGGTGGCAACCCTAGCGACTACTAACAACCTTTTGCATTTTCCCATCTTGTTGTTATCGGTCAGTCATACCAAATAGTCATGGTTGTTGTCATTTTTCACCTTATTTTCGTATATTAATGCATCCGCAATTTTTGGTAGGTAACCGAAATCACCCACTAATGGCAACCCTTTGCGTTTCGCATGTTGTTTCTGACTCGTCGTCTATTTTTATGGCTTTAAAGTTCAGACCAGATTAAGTAAACGACATAAAACCATTGGTCACCAACATATCATGATGGGGTGCCGTTTCCGTGATCTGGCGAGACCACGTGGTCACGACGAACGTAAACAGTATCGATTTTTCAAAATTCGCGACGAGCCATAAAAAGTTGGGCTTTAATTTCAAACTGGCGCTAACTTTGTCCGAAACTTTTCCGGCACAAATTACACTTAAGATCCTTGTACTTTCTCTTTCTAACTTATGTGAACTAGTTAAGAAACTTCNTTTTTGGATATTAACTGTTAAAAGATTGGAATGAAATATTTAGAAACTGCTGAACTATTTATTATATTTACAAAAGAATTAAAATTAACAAAGTGAACGTTTACAAAGATACTGAAAGAATGCTTTCTGTACAACTTAAAACTAACTTAAATACATAAACAGACCTCCTGAAGGGAGAGAGGGTGGATAGGCTGTACCAAGCTAGTAATAATTAAGCAGTACAGATATTTTGACCCAAGGGGTCCGGCAAAAGTACCTGAAGGGCAATAAACTGAACAAAATAGGACTTCACAATTGCCTGAAACATATTGTTAACGTGGATGAAATATTTTTATGAATTCCCACATAACTGTAGAATTAAAAATATATGTATATACAGTCAGGACTGAACAAATCAAGAAAAACTTATTACATTTTTACCAAATAATCAGCAAAGACAAAGTTTTACAAAAATTTTAAAAATAAATATTTCACGTTACAGGGGGCAATTTTGAATCTTACGCTATCTTTTTCCTTATGCCAGTGGCTGTGTTAATTGTTTGCAACAGCGTTTTATTTGCAAGAACCACATATTACTGCTACAAGGTTAAAAGTGAAATAGCTAGAATAAAGGATTCATCGAAAAGCTCTAAAGAAAAGAAGAAGCTGTTTCATGCAGATAAAGACAGGTAATTAATTTTTAATATACGTTTTTGTAATAATAATTCGTACAAGTAAATACCTACCACACATTAGGATATTTTTCAATGTCCTGGGCTGTGGCATTTTACGTTGATTTAAATAGGTTGCAGGACGATTGGTAGGAGGGAAAATAAAATGATAAAATCGATCGAATTTCGATTACGGGCTAGTTTCAAATTCCTTGAGATATTTTTAGTCCGATTTCAACTTAATTTTGAACCTAAATTTAGCAGGGTCAAATAAATCGCCGTTTTGAGTATTAACCTATTGCATTCAAGAAGTATCATTAACTTAAAATAAGTGTAAACAAACTCAAAGAAAATACTTTTAATGATGTAACATTGTACGAAATTCATTCGAGATTGAGATATTTCCTAAAATTTCTTACAAAAACGCCCACATGGCTTCAAAACATAACGCTAAGGACCGTTACGTTTAATAGTAGACTTTTTCATTTCATTTCATTGAAGTCTACCAGTGTGAATATTCGATAAGTAAATCATTCTTCTTTTTCCCAGTAATCGGAAGCTTTTCATATTTAGACGTTGTGTCATAGCGGATTCAGTAAGGAATTCGTTTATTTTTATATTTCGTCAATGTTTAGACGATGAAACAGAATCAACAAACGAAAAATCAAATTCATATTACTTTTGAGTGAGAAAGTCTAGGCGTGAGATTAAACAAAAGCTCTCTAATATAAACATTTGGCACTTAAATGTTCAAAACTGAAATCAGTAGTTTTGCACATTTGCACTGTGATTTTATAGCTGCATAAGATCGTAATGCTCGTGAAAAGATAAGTTGAGGACTTAGGACTGACGACCTTATGATGATGAATACAATAATAGTCAATAGGGAGGTGGAAGACTTAAATACTATCAGAAGTACCTTTTGAAATGATCAACGGTTTTTCACGATTTCGACATTATAATTTCGTTGATCGGGGGGTATTTTGAATGGTAGGGACTTGTATTTGTTAATTCATCTAATTATTTCGCTTTATAATTAGGAATGTTATGATAATTAGTGTTGTTATGATCCATATGGAAATGATTTTAAACGGTACGTTAGCTAAAGTGCGTTTCAGGTTTTAACGTGTAGTATGCTAATTGTGAGTTTGTAAACTTGAATAAATTTGAATTCAAATTTGATCGTCTATTCTAATAGATAAATCAATCGAGACTATGATGCAAAATAAAATTTATTTATAGAAGTTTTTTTTAATAGTAAATAAACCAAAAAGAGATAGAGAGATCTTAGTTGCCACAATACTTAAGTAAAGAGATTAGGGCGAGTTAAATGTTGGTTTATTTATTTAGTTTGATTTAAATGTGGATACAATAAATAAGAACAAAGCAATTTTTATTTCGACAACTCGGCAATACTGTATAATTTATTTTATCTATATTATAGAGGCATTTTATCTATATATTGTATAATAATTATTTCCGAATCTGTACAGTTAATAATGTTATTTTTAGATTGATGGTAATATTCAAGCTGTTTGTAATTATGGGAATTTCATGGATTTTCGAAATTATTTCTGGATTTTGTTTCAAACAAGAATCTGTTGTGTTTAAAGGTTTTGAACTTGTTGTTGACTCTTATAATGCATCAGAAGGTATGTTTAATAAATATTTATAAAGTATTTCTATCAACAATTTGAATATAATTTGTAAATAATTGTATTAATGCAACTTATTATTATTTATGATTTTTTCTAGGCATACTCATTTTCTGCGTATTTATGTTAAAGAAGAAGGTTCTACAAAATTTTCGGAAAAAATTTGGGATTGCTTCTGTAAGTAAAACATCGTCTCAAAATACCACAAACACCAGTTTACATTCTTCATCTGAGCGCAACTTACATTTGAAAAATATTCATGCTTAAAACTTTATATTACTTTATGAAGTTAGTACAATTAAGTACAATTTGTTTCAAATATGTCGTACTCAGCGTCATTTATGTTTCATTAAGTTAGTACTATCTTCTCTTTCTTCTACTTATACCTAGGATAGAGAATTAAAAGTTTCTGTTACTGTAAAATTTAGTTTTAAGAACTAAAGGTAAGTTTTGACTGATTTAATTCTTATACAATTTAGAACATAGAGTGGAAATAACAAATTGTAGAAGTATACGTAAATTAAGGAACTTCTAAACAATTGTTGACTGAGAAAACGCCAAAGGACTGGTAACGGTATTTAAATTGAGTAAGGAGAAGAATTCAAAGATCTGAAATAGAAAAAATAGAAAACAAAAGAAGTATATTTATCTACTAAAAATTAAGTACTGAATGAGAAAGTTCAAGAACTAATTTTAAAATTTACAGTAAAAGTATTTACTTACCTGTGTATTATTTTGATTTCAACACTATGTGAATAATCTTTTCAAAAACTCATTTTTTAAAATACTCTAAGTATACTTTAATTTTATTTTATTTATCTGGATATTATGGGGCAGTTAGTTACACATACGTAAACTTATTTTTAAAACGTCTCGAATTGCTATAAATGCCTCATTTTAATAATTTATGTATTTTTATAAGTGAAAAATACTTCTAACGAGGATAGGTTTAAAACAATATACAACTGACCGATATTATTGAATCTTTTAGATTTATAGAAGATTAGGTACTACAGACGATGATAGTATGTGATTATGGCAGAATGGTTAAGTTCGTCTCAACAATAAGCCGATAAACAACATTTCAAATAATCTCTAGTCGCAGGCTAAAATCACAGGTTACTTCAATTAAACATATTATAAAGCTATTTATTTTTAGAACCTTAGAACCAGTCTCCCTTAGGTTGTTGGTGTATCCCTAACATTTGTGCTAATTTACCCCCATTTCAAGACATCTACGTCTCTGGCCTATGTAACATGTTTTACAGTTCGACTTATAAATTATTTTTAAGTATTTTTTTAAATTTATAGTTTGATTTAAATACAATGGCTTTTCTATTACAATTTAATATTTTTGCAGTATTTTTCGATGATTTAGCTTTCGTTTTGATTAATGGAAATACTGATGTAGCGTTGTTTTGTTTTTGTTAATACTTTTTTTGATTGTGAGTCTCTTCTCGTTAGACAGGATAAAGGCTGACTATTTTTTAGCATTTTTATGTTTATGATTAGGTAAGTGCATCTTTTAGAGAAGAATGTATTGTTTTAAAAAAAGTTTCTATGTGTTATACAATTGAGATTAAATCCTTTATTATCCTCAAAGGGTTGGATAGGTTCCTACAATAATGATGAAATTGAAGGAGAGAAATATCGGCTATATTTAAATCAAGTTAAACTTGCCAGTGTGTGCGATAACCGGTGTTTATATTATTTTCAATTTCTCGCCAAATTTTGATTCACAGATCGAGGGATTACTGTGTAGAATAACACGCGCCTGATGGTGGAGTATTACTCAGGGCTTTTTCCACAAAAACAAATATTTATTTTGAGGTGATGAAATATCATGACTGGATCTCATTATTCTGGAATAAGTTTTAATAAAAATTGGTGACTTTTTACGGGAATGTACAGTTTGGATTCTACCTACATATACGGGAAACTAAGTTTTGTAACCGGAAATATCCTTGCGGTTGATTTGATCCTAAATTTTAAACTTTTATTTGTGAGAAATCAAGTTATTTGAAGGTAAACTCTTTTTTATAAAGGAATACACACTTTTGAATCGATTTGTTCTTAACTTCTCACAAGTATCTACTGAAAACAAAAGAGCAAATTACTTTTAAGGATATTTTTGATTTCAAAATTTTCTGCTCTTTGCATTGCTGAAGACAAAAATATGTATTTCTACTGAAAAGCTAACTAGACCTGCAAACAACCTCGAAAGTTAAGGTGGAACCACCAGAAAAACTACGTTTCATTAAAATTTCTTCCAAAATAATAAGATCTTCATATTCTCAAGATAAACTACCAACCCTATGTATAGCTATTATTATCTTCTATAGCCGAGTATTCCAGTATAAGGAATATATATATTCGTGCTATTTATATACCTATATACCTGTAATCTATTAAAAATAATAAATGTAAAGTATATCTACTTATATTATACAGCGCATACCAGTGTGTTAATTACAATCAATATATAACTACAAAGGTACCTGAGAAGTATTTGAACCCTTTTCTATTTTATTTAGCTCACTTAATGGCATGTTACTTTTTAAAAACACCAACAGTAGTCAATTACGTTCTATAATTCATAACAAGCGCTACAAATCCCAATCTTTGTTAATCTGTTTTTGATGTTCCTAACAAGTAATAAAAAGATTTTCTTACAAATGATTAAGTTAATATCTCGATAATTCCTTAATTGGAATTTGTTCACCTCAGACTTTGTCAAGGTTTGATAATCATTATTGTGTTTCGTAGAATTTTTGATTGTTATAAATAATAAAGGCGACGTTAGCCATAGTAAACAGTACTCAAATTACTCACATTTTGTTAATTTTGTTCTCATATTATATTCACATAGGTACTACGCATTTGTTTTGATAAAGAAGTACTATAAGGATTTTAATTAAATAATATAATTTTGTAGTAGTTTTACTTTCTATGAATAGGTACGAATATCAGAAAAATCCTACAGTGAGCCAACTGAAATGAGAAATAGTTCATGCATTCTTACGTATTTTGTGCTATGAATATGTACTTGTAATAAATTATATTTTATTGTACATTATTATAATTTATAGTAATAGACAAATACCCAAAAAACTTCTATCCAGAAAGTATATCAATAGATTTTTTATACAATTTTAGGTATATTCTTGACATCGTTTTCTGATTAAATGTGTAACTATAGTGAACTTTGAACTTCCTTCAGCAATGATTTCTTCAATAAGAAGGAATTACAGTACATAATGTTGCTTGGGGTAGATCCATCTTCGGTTCCAGGTAATCGTTTTTCTGGGCTGTTCTGTAATTATCCTGTTCCAAACGTTTCGGCGTTTTTTACTGAAGAAATATTTAGTTGTTACCTGATAACAGATCAGTCAGCCCAGAAGGACTATGACAAAAAATTATTTACCTACTAATTAAACGACTGCTTATTAGATAATTAAAATTGAAACTAATTATTTCTTGTGCTTTCCTGTGTATTATCTAATAACTGTATTTAATCTATTTAATATATTCGAAACACCAATTTTCAATGCTGTTTTAAGGGACTCCCTATATTTTATTGACTAGCCATTATGTTTTGAACAGTCTAAAATCTGATAAGTTATCGAAAGTATATAATTCTTTACAACAATTTATTGTTGTTGGTTACAGATGCTTTTCTATATTTTGTTTAAGTGCAAAAGATTCAAAAGTCCGTCAAAATCAAAGATTAATTTTTGTTTTAAACAAATGAATCAAAATAAACCATTTGTACCACCGTATTATTATTCACTTTACATAATTTGCTTCACCATTTTATAGCTTTTACAAAAGTTACGAAATTTTAATAAATGTATCTTATGAAGTGTGAAGCATATGTAAGGTAAAGAATAAAAAATTTGTGGAAATTGCAAATGCTTAAACTTTTTAATTTTACGGTGAATTTTCATCAAGGACTTCGTAGATTCGATTAATCAAATTAAAATAACGTTACAAATTTTTCATTGATAACTCCATCTTTGTTCAATTTTTCTCTTTAAAGTAAAATGCTTTTATATGTTGCCTATCGACAATTCAGAACTTTAAAAAATTGAATTACGTACATTCAATGTACTATACTACCGATAACTGTCGAAAAGCTCTGAATTTTCACGCGAAGTGCTTTTCGTATTTGAAGCATTTCACCAAAGAGGGCTCTGAGGGAATCATATCTTTAAAAAATTGAAAAAGGAAATAAGTTTTAAACATTAACGTACATGGTATTTAAAATTCATAAGTGGTTAACGCTAGTACTTGCACTAATTTCATAAATTTAAATTTTAAATTTGATAAAGTTATTGATCAGCAAAATAAATAATTAGTGGTAGATATGTATATAAATAACGTTTTTATAAATAGCGAATTCAGTTGAAATTTTGTCGAAGAATTGTTACGAATTAAATTCTGACCAAATGGACAGAAAGAGATGATATAAATAACTCTAACTAATGAACTAACAACTGAAAAGGAGAGGTAACATTGGGTCTACTGTCTACATCTTGTTGTTAAAACAGTTGTTAAGGCGTTCAGTAGAAACAATTTTTATACCTTGAAGGTAAGTCCTTTTTAGAAAATAAACGCGAGTTAATTACAGTTTACTAAACTAATTAATCAACTAATTATCGCGGTGTTGCGTCGTACTTCAGAAGGCACCTGCTTCATCTACAGTTTCGTTAATATATTGTTACCTTCTTTAGTTACTCTATGTTTTATCATTTTGGTCAGAAGGCACCGACTTATTTTCTCCTTTGAGCTTAGTTTGTTATTAGTACTTTACAGCAAACAGTACAATCACGGAGCTTACTAATTTATTTAAAAAATATACATTAAGACTTGTATATAGCTGCAAAAGTTACAAAAGAATATCAAATTAAAGGCCTAACTAAAATGTCAACTTAGAATTAATATTATTGATATTAGAACATGCGACCTACGGATTGCTTTATTTTCTTGACAAATAATGAATTTTTATTTTGCATTGACTTCTACAGAAGTTACAAAACATTTCTTGAATACAACTGTAAAACGTACTATATACAAATGTGACCAATACATTTAAAAAAATCATGAAAATTGCAGGTGCTTTAGTTTTTGAACATTGAATTTCCGCCAAGTACAAGTAGGTTTGATTAATCGAATTAAAACAAAGTTGTTACAAATCTTTATTGATAAAGTAAAATGCGTTTCTAAATTGCCCATCGATAAATTAGAACTTTAATTGATGGAATTACATTCAATAAATTTTATCGATAACTGTCGAAAAGCTCTGAATTTTCACACGAAATGCTTTTTCTATTTGAAGCATTTCACATAAGAGGGCTCTGAGGGAATCGTATTTTTAAAAAATTAAAATGAAAATAAGTGTTAAACGTTAAAAAACGTGGTATTTAAATATCATAATTAATTATCGCTAGTAATTCCACTGTTTTTATAAATTTAAACTTCAAATTTGATAAAGTTATTGTGTAGTAAAATAAACAATTAGTAATAAATATGCATATAAATAAAGTACTTATAAATCGCGAATTCAACTGAAATTTTGTCGAAGAATTGCTACGAATTAAATTCTGACAAAATAGACAGAAAGAGATGATACGAATAATTCTGAAATGAACTAACAACTGAAAAAGGGAGGTAACATTGCTCTTACTGTCTACATTTTGTTGTTAAAACAGTTGCTAAGACGTTCAGTAGAAAAAAAGAAGAAATTTGCATACTTTGTAGGTAACTCCTTTAAATGCACGCGAGTTAATTACAGTTTACCAGACTGACTAATCAACTAATTATCGCGAGTGTCGCGTCCTACTTCAGAAGGTACCTGCTTCACCCAGAGCCTTATTAATATATTGTTTCCTTCTTTAGTTACTCTATGCATTATCATATTAGTCAGTAGATATCTACTTATTATCTTCTTTGAGCTTAGTTTGTTATTAGTACTTTACAGCAAACAGTACAATCATGCGGTTTATTGATTTTGTTTAAAAAGTATACATTAGAAGGTGTACATAGTTGCAAAAGTTACAAAAGAATTCTTTATATCAACAACTGACGTATATTTATTTGTGTTAACATGTGAAATTTCATATGAAATCATATTTTAGAGTTTAATAGAAATTCGAAAGTAGTATTTGCCTCTACGGTCTACATCTCCTTCTTAAAGCAGTTGCAGTAGAAAAAAAGAAAAAAATTGCATACTTTATAGGTAATTACTTTTCGGAATTTGCACGCGAGTTAATTATAATTTACCAGACTGACTAATCAACTAATTATCGCGAGTGTCGCGTCCTACTTCAGAAGGTACCTGCTTCACCCAGAGCCTCATTAATATATTGTTTCCTTCTTTAGGTACTGTATGCTTTATCATATTAGTCAGTTAGGTACCTATTTATTATCTTCTTTGAGCGTAGTTTGTTATTAGTACTTTACAGCAAACAGTTCAATCACGCAGTTTATTAATTTTGTTTAAAAACTATACATTAGAACTTGTACATAGCTGCAAAAGTTACAAAATAATTCTTAACATCAACAACTGACCCATATTTATTTGCGTTAACATGTGAAATTTTATATGAAATCATATTTTAGAGTTTAATAGAAATTCGAAAGTAGTATTTGCCTCTACGGTCTACATCTCTTTCTTAAAGCGGTTGCAATAGAAAGAAAGAAAAAATTTGCTTACTTTGTAGGTAATTACTTTTTGGAATTTGCACGCGAGTTAATTATAGTTTACCAGACTGACTAATCAACTAATTATAACGAAATAAGGTTTGAGCATTTAAAAACATGGTAATTAAATCTGTAAAAACCTTACACAATTGGTAATAGGTATTTATATCAATAATGTTTTTAATAATCACGAGTTTAATTGAAATTTCGTTGGAAATTGTTACGAATTGAATTGTGGGAAAATGGACAGAAATAGATGTTAAAAATACATTCTGAAATTCCATTCTGCAGTGGAGGGTTGTTAAAATACTAATAATATTTTCTATTTGAAAATTAAATGAATATTACTTTTTTTTACATAACCGATATGCTTAATCATTATTTTCAGTATTTTAAAAGCTAAATGATGAAAGCTTTTTGAAAAGCTCACTTTTCTGTTACTAACAAAATTTCATCATTTTAGTCACAGGAAGGTAACACATTTCTTTACTTAAGCCATATACAAGTTGCTCCAGGAAGAACGGCATCAGGTGGTAATAAGATATACCACCTCAATGGCATTATTTACATTGGTGTTTTAAGAATTGTCCTTAAGGTTTTAAATTTTTGATAATAATAATAGAAATAGTCGACTGATGTCTTTTTATGCGTTTCTGAATGACTTGTAGTCAGTACAATTGACAATTATGTTTAAAATAAGTGTAAAATGCTTTTGTAAGTTGCCAGTCGGCAATGTAGAGCTGATTAATTCCATTCCATCCATTTTCGATATCTGTCGAAAAGCTCTGAAGTCTCAAATAAAATCCTTTTTGCATTTGAAATATTACACCAAAGATGGCTCTGAGGGTATCATGCCTTCAAGACAATTGAATGACGAAATATGATTTATACATTTAAAAGGATGGTATTTAAAATCTGTAATTGTTTAAATAGCTCTATCAATGGCACATTTTTTATGTATTTAAACTACAAATTGAATAAAGTGAATTAGCAAAATAGATAATATAGGTACTATTAAGATCATGCACAATTAAACATAGATATATGCTACCTACATACGATTAATTAAAAGATATATTTAAAAAGTATGTAAATCTTGTCTTCTGTCTAAACATTTATTCTTTGTCATAATAAACTGATAACAAATAAGTATTCAATCTATAAAATAGCGGAGATTCGATGAGATTAGTAAGATTATTATCACTTAGAGTTAATAAGGTGTAAGTATGTTTCTGGTTTTAACTATCTGGGATTAGGGATTTAGAGATTTGGAAGATGTCCAAGGGTTTGCAGACTAAGTTTAAAGTAGTCTAGCTGAATTTTAATTTACAGTGAAATAGCAATAATCTTTATACTAATCATTAGTTGAAAGCTCTGTATTTGCTAACAGTGGAAAATAGGCTTCTAAAGAAGTAAAAATTTAAATAATTATGTTTTTGAAAAGGAATATATAACACGTAATCTTAAGGAGATTCACGTTTCAACATTATTAGTTATACATTTTCGGAGTAAATTTACTATTATATTTATTGTACACTAATATTAATATTGGTAATAGTGTGTCCTTTTAGGTATTTTAATATGAACTATCGGGGCAGGAGTATGGTAAAAAATGGTATAAGCATCTCGCGTCTCGGGAAGGAATTACCACAGTCGCTCGTCTTCGACGCTGTTAACGATTCACACCTGGGTGGTAATCTCGTATTTTGGTGAGTAAAACACTATTGCTTTATAAATTTTTATTTAGTTGCTGATTTCACCATATTCAAAGATCTGATGGAATAATTTACCTAAAAATGTAAATTGAAAAATTGTTAAAGATATATGTCTGTACGGGTTCGAAGTGTACTGTTACAGAGGAATGACAAGGATAAGAGAAGATTAGAAATGAGGAGGTATTAGGAATAGAGGGCACTATGGAAGTCACTAAATAATAAAACGAGTTAGGCTGGTAGGACACCTTTTCAGGCATGGAAGGTTAGTTAAAGACATATTGGAAGCAGAAACAGGAGTTAAGAGGGGTAGAGGTAGAAGTAGATTAGGTTAATATTCACAAATTGTTAAGAATCTGGGATGTTTTAATTTCAGAGAATGATGATATAGTTATGTGTTTGCGTATTATACAGTCAGCTGTTATACGTGATTATATGAAAGTAACGGAGGAAAAGAGGGAGTGGAAAATGAAATTAATTTTTTGTTTTTACTTCGTTTGTTGCTCATATAAATTAATATACAGTGTAAACTCTTTATAACGTCACTCGATTTAACGACAAACTCCTTAAAACGTCGAAATTGCTTGACTTTGGTTGGTTTACATTGTTTTCTATACAATATTTCACTCCATATAGCGTCACGCTCACTCTATTTAACGACAACAATGCGGCATTATAAATCATTGAGCAGTACTTTTTAAATAGCCAGCAACATATTTTCGTATGTATATAATGCTGTCCCTCCGCCAAGCATCAAACAAGCACTTGATGCAGCGAAACTATTAAAAAAATACTTTTTATATAAAGAAATTGATTCAGCAGTATCTCAAGATATCAATAAGATACGTAACAAAATACAATTAAAATATTGGAACAGCAAAAAACATCAGACGAAGATAATAGGCTATACGCAAAGTATGAATAATAATGTTCGTGTGCAAAAAGTGTACTATATTGGTAAATGCATATTATTATAGATAGTAAAATAACATCTTTTATTTCTCTCCATTTAACGACCACTCTTTATAACGCCGAAAAATGTTCAGTCCCTTAAGTGTCTATATATAGAGTTGGGTGGGGGTGTAGTTTACTATTTATCATTTCTGCAACGAATTCTAATTTAGTTCGTGTGTTTATTTTACATCAAAAAGAAGACTCATTTGTGTGGCTTTTGTAAGGTGCCCATCTGAAAATACTTATTTCTTCTTAAGAAGCGTAAATTTTATATCAGTCTGTAAAAGATCTTTTTTTCAGAAAAAGGTGGCGATTTTCTATTTTGCGTTTTTTTTATCAAAAAACCAGGCAACCGCAGGTATTCAAGTCGTAATGAAAAATAAAATATTCAAAAGTTTGTCATTGACATGAACGTGGAGCATAATGTCGGAGATGTGGGCCTGGTTTTAAGATAAAAGCTCCGGCTTAAGCGTTATTTACTTCTTCCCTTTTCATTTAAAATTGCAAGCTTTCAAGTATCGCATGTGAAAGGCCGTTTAAAAACTCCATTGCCACCTTTTGTTTTCTGCTACACTTTTAAAACAGTTTTAGCTTCTCAAAAATATGGAAAGCACACCAGCGCCGCTTTACGTGCATACATGCATATGCGGAACCGTGGGTACACCCACATACGTGTATATATGTACACATTTTACTGTTTGCATGTTTGCTAAAGATTCTATGTACATATATATGTAGCAGGTTATAAAAGCCGCTTTCGTTTCAGCCTTAGTTTCGAAGAAAATACACTCCAGTTTTGTTCAGGACTTTTCTTTTTGAAAACCTAGCTAATAAATAAATAATGAACCAGCTTTTAACGTTTTTCGGTTGGCATTCAATGCTCTTGTTGTAGAAATTGTTCAAAAATGCTGTCTTTATAAAGAAAACAATAAAGTCTAACTGTACTTAGGTATATCGACGCCAATGTGTGATGGTACCATGTTTAAAATTATTATGGATTATGATAAATAGTGTAAACTTAATTGAAGGTAAAATATGTAGATATTAACCACGTGCCTACCAACTATTTTTGCTATGAATTTCCTATATCGTTTAGGTCATTTCATTTAAAACATAAAGGCTAAATGATTTTATTTAAATAAAAATTCAGATTAATTAGTCAGAACATTATTATCTACTAGATATACTTATTAGCAGAATATTTTAAAATCGGAGTAAATTACAGAAAGAAACAATAAAAAAAGAGACTAATGCTCTTATCAATTACTTGGTTCATGTAACACCTGTATATAGTATTAAACGTAGTTTGTATTAAGATTTATTAATTATTTATTAAACATATTAATATGCATATTCTATTCATTTGAAATTAAATGTTTTATCAAAACGATTTCGTTGTGAGCTTTCGCTTTGTTGCACTCTTTCTAATATAAAAGTATGAGTAATACATTTCGTGTGATGTTTTTTAAGTAAACAACTGTAGCATTCGTTAACAAGAGAGAAGGATGACGCCTTTCACAGATATTTCTTTAAATTCTTCATTTTATCAGTCGGCTATGATTGACGTATCAGGGCGATTCGTTCAGATTCATCTATTCGGTATTGTTCGGGCGTTATGCGAGTTTCTAAAGAATTTGACAGTGTTATATAGTGGTAGATAAACTGCAATTAACTAATTTTCATGCTCGTTTCGATAAAATAAAAGTGTTCGTAGTGTTTGGTGTACAAACTTCATCTGTTTGAAATTTGATTCAAGGTAGGAATGATTCACTTGCTTTTGATTTATTATGAAAACAATTAAATTACATCGCGATGGCGCAGGTGTGTTGATGGCACTGATTTATATTGGTTCGAGTAAATATTTTCTGTAAATGAATGATGTTTGCTAAAATATTATTGATTGTGATTGCAAACAGTTGCCGGTTTGATTTAATTCTAGTAAGTTACGTTCCAAAACCGATAATATTGTTTTATGATAATAGTAGTAATAGTAATAATTATTAGTGGTAATATTGGATTATTGCTGATGTTTGAAGGCAATACATAGAAGTATAGGTAATGTGTGTTCGTTGTTGGTGTAAAATTTTTTTTCTTGATCCGGTCATAGTGAAATTTAAAATTGTATTTATAAAAAAATGAGTTTTCCGTAATCTGAGGTAGTTAAAGGAAAGCCTTGCCGCCGAAAGGCTTGCAATTTCCATCAGCCCAGAGGGCCTGAACGGTCTCGTGTACTTACTTTTAAAAAAATACAAAATTCTCCGTTGCATGTCAGTAAAGAGAAAATAAATTTTAATTATGAAATCATTGTGAAAAAATTAGCAGTCATCTTTCTTGATACAAAGGTAGAAAACTTTCATTTTTAATTGAGATAGATCAATTTACCCACCCTTGTGCCAACGAAAGATGCATGCCAATTTTTAACAAGGGTTTCATAATTAAAATATTCTTTCTTTTTATTTATTGCTGAGTGTACGTCTTTCAGTTCTAGGCCTTAAACCACCTTTAACTATCTTACTCTACAAACGAATGCAATATATGACGCCACGGAAAAACATACTTTACAACCTTTTTATTTTTCTCATCAAGGGGTAAATTCAATCAATTTGAATTCTAGGCCTTAAACCACCTTTAACTATCTTACTCTACAAAGGAATGCAATATATGACGCCACGGAAAAACATACTTTACAACCTTTTTATTTTTCTCATCAAGGGGTAAATTCAATCAATTTGAATTCTAGGCCTTAAACCACCTTTAACTATCTTACTCTACAAAGGAATGCAATGTATGATGTCACGGAAAAACACTTTTTTAAGATGTTTTTATTTTTCTCATCAAGGGGTAAATTATCAACCCTCAAGAGGGCATGCGGTATAAAATTAAAGAACCCCACCTGCCTAATCAGATCCTAGTTTAAAAATTGCATAATTCTCAGGTATAAGTTACCTATGCAATGCATCAGTGTTTCCCAACCTTTTTTTCCTCGCGAACCAAAAGAAAAGTCCGAAAAAATTGACAAACCCCCTATGTAGTCGTTAATGACAAATAAAAGAAGCAATAAAATTTGATGGGATATATACTTTTTCATATTGCATAATAATTGATTACATTAATCGTGAAATATTTAAATAAAACATTAATAAGACTAAAATGATGTAAATGTAGTAAATTGCCTTAATTTGATATTTATTTCCAATTGTATTGTAAAAAAAAAATATTACACAGAAGGGAAAACTGCTGCAATGATTTTAAATATAAAGCAGAACATGATACTAATCACATTGATAAAATGTTTTAAATATAAATAAATGTTTGTAATAAAAAGAGAATAGTATTTGATTACTTGAATAAGAGGAATAAATTTTAATGTATAAAATTGTTGATATATTTTGATATTGATGAAGTAATTTTGAAAAACAAATAAGGAAAAAAGAAACGAAAATATTGAAATTTATTATAGATTTCTTAACAAACAGGCATTTTATTGGCGTTTTAAAAAATCCGCCATTACAATATTATTTTCGCGAACCCCCTCTGCAAACACTGCGAACCCCCAGGGGTTCGCGAACCACCGGCTGGGAATCACTGCAATACATGTTTGAACTTTGGGGAATTTTCTTATGCCTAAAAGTACTTAATTTATAAGCCAATGAGAACAAAGGAAACATATTGCACAGGACGAAATACTCGGTGTGAAGTGAATAATGGTAAATGAAGGGTGTATATGTAAATAAAATAAATGTTACGTATTTATTTTAGCCCAGCTCTGGCTCTGCTACTTTAACATTGCTACTTGACTGACTCCCCCGCTCAAGCGGTTACCGCCAAATGTGGCAAATCCTATTTTTGCATTTTTAAAGTCAATCCGTATTTTCTTTACACAAACTGTAATTTTCTTCTGTTTACTGTTTTCTGATATTATTTCATCAGTTACTAGATTCTGCGAAAGAACAGAATTTGCTTTCGACTCACCCACTTGAACAAATTTGCTCGGAAATGATAACATCTGGGAACAAATTGGATTTCACGGGGGTTATTCAAGTAAAGATAACGTCCTCACATTTTAACTGTGCCTGGAAACGGTGATAATCCTATGTAGAATCATTTTGAAACTGTGCGGAAACATACGAAAACACTTTGCCAACAGTCATCCTTCCGGTTGTTTATAAAAAAATTTAAAACCGAAATATCAGAATATGATAGATTTTATTTAAAAAATCGGTGGAGGATTCAGGAAAGTATAATTTTATTATAAGATGATGATAATATTAATTAATAAATTCGTCTGTTTATAATTATAATACCTACATATAACAATAAAAAAAATAAATGTAGGATGTAAATTGTAGGTATTCCTGAATGACTAAATGGATTTTAATTGTCATTAAACTAATTGTGGGTTTATCTACTACTTTTTGTAAGTATATATACATACACTATGTATGTATTTATGCAGGGTCTCTTTTACTTTTTCTGACATTGCAACAACAATTTCAGTAGAACTCTGATAATAGTTAACTAGCAACAACTATTTTATTTAATTTTAATTAAATGGAAAGAAAGATAAAACAAATTAAATGGATGGTCTTGTGTTGATGATAATCAACATGTTGTTCTTAGAGCTGTTTTTGCTATGAATTTGGAAAATAACTGATTAGTTAGAATTATTCTGTACCAATCGTCATGAATTCATTAATTAATCATATTTGCAATAATTCCATGGTACACGGAGGAAATGAAAGACGAAAATTTACCTTTATCTTCCCGAAGTGAGTTAGTTTTTAATATGAAATATTCTCAATTTTTACCCACTACACACTTCCTCAAATTGTCATCTCTCGTAGCGTAGTGGTCAAAGCATTGGCGCGAAAGAGCCCGGGTTCGATTCCCGGCTGGGGTGTGACAACAGCAACAAATTTTTCCTCATTAATTTGAGGAAGTGTGTAGTGGGTAAAAATTGAGAATATTTCATATTAATTCGACTATTTCTAGGACAAATTCAGTCATTTACAATCGAAAATTGTATTTTTTTCATTGCCATAAAAATTTAGTTTTCTCCGTGTATATATATATACATATTTAAGTCACAGGAAGCGAAGACACGTAAAACAATACAATTTGATATGTTCATTTGTCAGTTGTCTTTAGTTTAGTAAATGTTTTTTTCGAATTTGAGCCAATCTAATACAGTCCAATTATTTAGGAGGAAGTTCTGCAGAAAAATCACTAAAAGCACAATTTCTTTTCGACTTGTAGTGTCTACCAAAATCGCCAATTGTACATTGTGCGGTAGTCCGGCTTAAAAATGCTTTTCGCTTTTTTTACTCGGCTTCGTTTTTCTGAAAACGTAGTTTGATAACAAACAGAAAAAGTAGCGCGCGACAACCGGGCATTTGTTCCGCAGATGGCATAAAAACTAATGAGCAAATAACAAGCTCACGAGTTCAGAGTTGGTGAAAAATAGTAGAGCAACTTTTGCAACTTTTCTCCGCATGTGTCTGAATATATATTGAAGCTGCTTTAAGTGCTATTAATATCGTGCGCTGAAACGTATACAGCAGCATAAAAAATTTAATGTTAAAATTACGTGGGAGCAGTAATGTACGAGGGTGGATTGATAAGTTTCCGGCCTGACCAAGAAAAACAAGGTTTTTAAAAATTTTTTTTTTTTATTTCTCAACATAATCTCCTCCAAGGCTGATACATTTCTCATAGCGGTGTTCCAGTCTATTAATGCCATCTCTATAGACTGATTCGTCAAGCTCCTCAAAATAACCATTTACAGCTTCGATTACTTCTTCATTGTCCGCAAATCTCTTACCGCCAAGCCATTTTTTGAGATTAGGGAACAGAAAATAGTCACTCGGGGCTAGGTCTGGAGAGTAAGGAGGGTGCGGCATCAATTCAAACTTTAGATCGTTGATTTTAGCCGTCGCAACGATTGACGTGTGCGCTGGTGCGTTATCGTGATGAAACAAGATTTTTTTCTTCGCCAGATGAGGTCGTTTAATTTTCACCTCGTGGCTCAAACGTTGCAATAAGTCTGCGTAGTATTGACCAGTGATAGTATTACCCTTTGCAAGGTAATCAATGTATATAATACCTCTTGCATCCCAAAAAACAGTAGCCATAACCTTGTTCGCCGAAAAAATTGTTTTTGCCTTCTTTGGAGTTGGTTCCCCTGGTCCAATCCACTGTTTAGACTGTTTTTTGGTTTCAGGAGTGTAGTGGTGGACCCACGTTTCGTCAACGGTTACGAATCGACGCAAAAATTCGCTTGGATTACGCTTATACAATGACAAATTTGCGGTAGAAATGTTTTTTCGAATCAATTTTTGGTCGACTGTTAGCAAACGCGGCACCCATCTTGCACAGAGCTTTTCCATATGCAAATGTTGGTGCAAAATATGTTGCACACGTTCATATGACATCTTACAGGTCTCAGCTATCTCACGCACTTTCAATCTGCGGTCTCCCAGCACTATTTGATGAATTTTTTCGATCATATCTGGAGTTGTGACCTCAACGGGGCGTCCTGAGCGAGGCCCATCAGAGGTGCTCACACGACCCTTTTTAAACTCGGAAACCCACTGCTTAACGGTTGAATATGACGGGGAGGATGTCCCCAGTGTTGAGTCCATCTCTTTTTTAATTTCCTTCGGCGTTAACCCCTTCAAATAAAAGTATTTGATGACAGCACGATTTTCCTGCTTTTCCATTTTTACGAAAACCACAGAGGCGTCTTGTTCAGCGTGC